CTGCTGAAAGTAGGTTTCTGGCCTTTGCTTACAATGTTGCGATCCTGCTGTCTGAAGCCCGGCGGACTAAAGCAGGTTTCTGGGGTTTTGTTTAGCTTCTATATTTGTTACATAGTTTCTTAGAGTTGCAGCTCAGAGGCCTGCAGCGGCAGGCGGGGAACCTTGGCTTCCTCCTTCACTGGAGCAAACAAGCCTCCTGTTTCCTTCAGGTGCCTGGCTGCCGGACAACATCTTGGTTGGCAGTTAATTTGCATATCGCCCTGATTAGCCAATGGAAAGCGTGTTGGAGGTATGGTTCATTACCATGTTTGTCTATTATTAGATGGGATTGTTGAAATAAAATTATGGAAATGGGGAAAAATTAATGGTTACTAAAGGTTAAGCTCAAGAAAGGGAAGGAAAGATATAAAAGGATAATACGAGAGCCCTATGGTAATGGGACTGTTAGTAACTTTACTGTCATCATGGTTACATGAACGTACATGATAAAATGAAATAAAACAGTCTCTCTTTCTTTCTCCCTCCCACTCTCTTTTTTTCCTCTCTCTCTCTCTCTCTCTCTCACACACACACACACACACACACACACAAACAAATACAAGTAAAACTGGAGAGATCTGAACAAAATTGGTAGATTATATCAATATCAACATCCTGGTTGTGATACTGTACTACAGTTTATCACTGAACGAAACTGGGTACTGGGTACACAGAATCTCTCTGTATTATTTCTTGTAACTGCAATATGAAGTAATTACACAATTATCTCAAAATCAAAAGTTTACGTTTTTAAAAGTTATATAACAACTCACTTATAGCAAGACCAATAGGCCAATAAAAAAAATGGTCAAAAGAGTTAAACAGACACTTTACAAAAGATTAGAAATGCCGCCGAAACCGGTTTGGCTCAGTGGATAGAGCATCGGCCTGCGGACTGAGGGGTCCCGGGTTCGATTCCGGTCAAGGGCATGTACCTGGGTTGCGGACACATCCCCAGTGGGAAGTGTGCAGGAGGCGGCTGATCGATGTTTCTAACTCTCTATCTCTCTCCCTTCTTCTCTGTAAAAAATCAATAAAATATATTTAAAAAAAAAAAAGATTAGAAATGCCAATAAGCACATCAAAAAATACGTAAGATCATTAATTCTCAAGGAAATGCAAATTAAATACCATTACACACCCACTACAGATTGACAATAAGAAATGTGGCCAAGGCTATGGAACAACTACAACTCTCACACACTTCTGGTGAGGATGTTAAAGAAAGCCACTTTGAAAAACTGGGAGTTTCTTACAAATTGAAACATAAACCCACCATGTGACCCGTCATTCCACTCCCCAGAGAAATACAAATGTATTTCCACATAATGAGTTACATGAATAATCATAGCAGCTTTATTCATAATAGTAAAAAACTGGAAAAAAACTAAATGTGTATCAGTAAAATGTGACTTAGCCATACATTGGAATACTACCCAGCAATGAAAAAGAATTAACTATTGATACATGCAACAAGATGAATTCTCAAAACCACTATGCTGAGTGAAAGAAGAAAGATGCAAAAAAGCGTAACTTACTCATTGAAAATTCTAGAAAATGAAACTAATTTGTTATGACAGAAAGCAGACCAGTGGTATCCTGGTGCCATAGGGTAGAGGAAGAAATGGACAGCAAAGGGACATAGAAAATTTCTCAATTCATAAGATGATGGAAACATTCTGTATCTTCTTAACTGTGATGGTGATTTTACAAGTATATGATTAAGATCTTTTATGTCGCCCTAGCCGATTTGGCTCAGTGACAGAGCGTCAGCCTGCGGACTTAAAGGTCCCAGGTTCGATTCCAGTCAAGGGCATGTACCTTGGTTGCGGGCACATACCCAGTAGGGAGTGTGCAGGAGGCAGCTGATTGATGTTTCTCTCTCATCGATGTTTCCAACTCTCTATCCCTCTCCCTTCCTCTCTGTAAAAAATCAATAAAATATATATATTAAAGATCTTTTATGTCAAAAGATCTAATTATAATTTTTAGATGGATAATTGTTACGTGCAAATTATAACTCCATAAAGTTATTACTGAAAAGTTTTATTGTGTTTTTTCACATGTGTATAGAAGCTTAGTTCTGTCATTACAATAAAAAAATGAAAGCTAAGAAGATTTTTTCCCACAAACAAGAGGCAGTGAAATTCATCAGAAAAAAGAAATTACTCTTCCTTTCCAAGCAACTCATAAAATTAAATGCAATGGTGACCACTAGTGGGACACAAAAATTAATAATTACAAGACTGACTTTTCTGTCATTAAAATACAGCTAACAATATGTAAATAGTAGAGACAGCAATATATAAAAACTATATCTGAGGATATACAACTACCAAATATTAAAATACTATAAATGTTCACTGTAATGAATTTAGAATCCTTTCTTAAAACTTCTGACTTCCTCACATTGCACAGGTAACTGAAAAAGGATAAAAATTAATGGAACCACATACAAAGTATTTTCTTTCTAATTTTTTGTTATTTTCCTATTTTACTTAATGATCATGTATACATTTTATAAAAGAATCCTAAAAAACTTTACTGAGGTTAAAAAAAAATACTAAAGTAATTAGATAGGAACTGAATAGAAAGAAAATGTGATCATATTATGCATGTCAAGAAAGAATGAAAATTCATTTTCTTCTTCCTGATACCCTTTAGTTTTCCCCAACAGTTTTTTACCATTCTACTCCACCAGTGTTACCTGGAGAGAGAAGTGAGCAATGAATAACGAAGTGTTCACTTCCAGGAAGTCCCAACCTTTAACCCCAGGAATATCTTATCCATGGCCTAATGGAAACTGGTTTATTCCTCTTAGGCTTGAGATGCCAGAGCCCCCTTAAACTAAAAGAACAGGAACCCAATACTACAGCCAAAGGTTTCGCTGTTCTTATGTAATAGAAAAGACAGTCTTAAAAA